GCCAGCTAGAGAAATCCAGTTTCAAGGATTCACAATTTCTCTTTTTCTTTCCCAAGCTTCTGTATCCAGCCTCTTCAGCTGGGTCAATATTCATTCACGCTATTCAGCAAGGACTCACTGAGAGCCAGTCCTGGGCTTGGTACTGGAGAGACAGTGGCACGTGGAACAGACACAGCCCTTTGCCACATGGGATTTACAGCACAGACCGTTTAAGACCTTTTCTCATAGTCTATGTGCTGAGTGGAAGTAGATAGTAAAGTATGCACATGTCAACACACACCAGCTAAATTTCTCCTAGCCTCTTTTTTTTTTTTTTTTTAAGATTTTCTTTATTTATTCATGAGAGACACAGAGAGGGGAGCGGGCAGAGACACAGGCAGAGGGAGAAGCAGGCTCCATGCAGGGATCCTGACATGGGACTCGATCCCAGGTCTTCAGGATCAGGCCCTGGACTGAAGACACTGCTAAACCGCTGAGCCCCCTGGGCTGTCCCCCCCCCCCTTTTTTTTTTAATACCTATTTCAGAGAAAGGAAATCTCTGAACCAGAGACCTCCCCTGGAATTCTTTTTTAATTTTTTTTTAAGATTTTATTTATTTATTCATGAGAGACACAGAGAGAGAGAGGCAGAGACACAGGCAGAGGGAGAAGCAGACTCCACGCAGGGAGCCTGACGTGGGCCTCGATCCTGGGTCTCCAGGATCACGCCCTGGGCTGAAGTCAGCGCTAAACCACTGAGCCACCTGGGCTGCCTGTTTTTTTGTTTTCGTTTGTTTGTTTGTTTGTTTTGTTTTGTTTTGTTTGAATTCTTAAGTCCTTCTGCTTTTCCAGCATGGAGCTGGAACAACTGAGTCTCAGAATTCCCCATCATTCCATCTCATTTGCTGGATTGGGAAACCCCTGTTAAAAGACATAGAAGAAAGGAGGTTGTCCCAGCTTCCAAATGCTAGTCTGACGAGGGACACGGAGTATATACTATAAACAAACACCCTCCACCCCCCCAGCACAAAACCACCACTAAATACAAGTATTTAGTTTGGAACACAAATCAGTAACAACGGTAGCGTTATTTCCATCAAGGCGGATAATAGCCTCCCGGTGTTAGGCAAGGACTGTGCACTGAGCACTTCCCGTGCATCATTCCATTTTAGTCTATGCCCCAGAACAGTCTGGTAGGCTCCATACTATTCTTAGCCCCAAGGGACAGTTGAAGAAATGACAGCCCAGACGGAGTGGGTAATTTGCCCAGGTTCCAACTAGCAAGTGGCAGAGCCAGGTCTGAAGATGGGACTTCAAAACCACAGACCTCACAAACTTAACCACAATGTTAAAGACCTGGAGAGGTGGTTTGTGCCTCTGAAATCTGGAATTGCCTATTAGTAAAAGCCAATGTGCGTGCATTTTCATAAGTAGGTTTGCTTCCACACCAAGGAACTGAGCCAACACTTTCACTGGCTAAGGACAGTAGGTGAGCCAAGAGACTTTAATTAGGTAAATCGTGTCAAGGGTGGAAATGCAAACCTTCTCTCATTGTTCATCCCTCCCCTGGACAATCACTGGTTGGAACCATCAGCAACCCAGTACCTGAGAACCTATTAGAAATGCAAATCTTCTGGCCCATCAACAACTTCCACTGAATCAGAAACTCTAAGAGTGGGCCCAGCATCTGGGTTTAACAAGTCCTTCAGGTTGTTCTGATGCTCCTTTAAGTCTGAAAATCACTATTCTAAAAGGACTTCCACTCTCCAGCAGCTGCCAAGTTTCTAGAGCTTTTGCTCTATTGATGAAGGAGGAGGGAGGCCCTAAGGAGCCAGTCGCTGGGACCAGGGCTCACTGGGCCTATCACCTGGCACATGATAGATACCTAATGAATACATTTGGATAAATGAATAAGTGGCACCCAGGGTTCCCATCTCTGTTACCGTGTCAGGAGGCGCTTGGATAATCCCTTGCCTGGACTGCAATATTGGGCAGACCGAAGGCACCCCGAAGAGAGCAGAACATTTTACTTCCACTTATTTCTCAGGAGGAGGAACAGAGACAGTGAGAGGGGCTCAACATGCTTCTGACCTTTGGACTTTTGAGCAGGAGGCATCCAAAGAGTTAAAAGTTACCACAGGGATAGCTGGCTTATCAGGTGTTGTGCTGATAAACCAACTCTCTGAGAAGAAAGCTCTGGCTTACAGCATTTGCTGATTCCCGTGATGTAAATACCTCCACCGTGGCCCATGGATACCCAGTTGGCTCTCAGGGCCTGCTCCTGCAGATCACTGGCTCTAGCTACTTGTTTAAAACCGTAAGCCTACTTATTTTGAAAGCATCAAAGTAATACATATATTTAAATATCTGCTCAAAACTCCAAAGGTCAGAAGCTTGCAACAGTTTCTAGTTTTAGTTCCATGGCCCCAAAGAGCGAGTGTAAACCAGCATGCATTGGTTATCACCCCCAGTGTCCACTGATGCCCTGGCTTGACAGACCAGGAATCTAGCTCGTCTCTAGCACCTTCCACACCCTGCCACCCTCACCCCCACTTGGTTATTTTCATGATATTTCACAATTCTTCCATTGGTTGCCTTTATGTCTTCAAGTAATAGCAGCAGGCACTTGTCTGGTGTTTGTTCTTAGAACAGGTGCTATTAGAGCCACTTGAGACATATTAATGGTTGAATCTTCACCACAGCCCTCTGAGGTAGGTTCTATTTTCATTCCCAGTTTATGGATGAGAAAATTGAGGCACAGAGAGGTTAAGTAACTCGCCCAAGCTAGTAAAAGGCAGAGATGGGATTCAAGCCCAGACAGGGCGGCTCCAGTGTCCATGCTTTTAAACCTTTCAGAGAAAGGTCATATAAAGTTACTTAGCATGGTGGGCCAGCTGCAGGTGGGACAACTCTAGACACACAAATATATCAGCAAGCCATAGACTATTTGCTTTTGTTGCCCTTAGAAAAAGCAAGCCAGGGGAAGAGTGCTCCTGCCCTCAGGTAGACTGGGCTGGAATGATCCAGGGCCCTGCCCACCATTAGAAACAGGGCAAGTGGGAGTTCCTGAAGGCCTATGGTCAAAATATCATTTATATTTGCATACGAAGTCTCCGGGGAACTTCCAGAAGCTGTGTCTATGGATGTGGACTCTGTCCCACCCATTCATCCTGTGGGCCCTTCCAAACTGGAAGGTTTGAATCCTTTTTCAATTCGGGCAAACTTTCTTCTCTTAGTTCTTTGATAATTTTTTCCTCTTTCTTTTCTCCTTCTTGGAGGTTCAGATTCTCAGACTGATTCTCTATCTCGATTTCTTCTTGGCTTATATTCTGGAAGATCGGTTCAGCGTTTTCCTCTTATATTCAGTATATTATTTTAGCAATCACAGTTTTAATTTCCAGGAACCGTTCTTCCTCTTGAATTGTTCCTTTTCCACACGAACCTATTTTTGGTTTATAGATGCAATCTATATCTTCTCAGATCACTCCGAAGTTATAAATCAGAATTATCTTAGAGTTCCCTGAATTTCCTTTGGGGCCTGTTGTTCTGGTTTCTTATCTTGATTTTTCTACTTCCTGGTCTCTCTGTTCTTGGAAGTCACCTCCCATTCAGCAACCATGGCACTGAGCCCCTTCTCTGTGCCTCTGTGTGAGACACCAGGCCTGGGGGGCGTGGGAATATGACGGCAAGCACCTGCCCTCATGGAGCCTCCCATTTCATAATACACAGAGACAGAGTCATGAGAGATCAGATTCCCCAAGCATTGGACCATCCCATGTTTAACGTTTTGGTCTCTTGTCTGCCGGCCCCACTAGACTGTGATCAGGGGCTCACGCTTTATATATTTATCCCAAAGAGGTCCTTGGTAAAAGTTTGATACATCTTGGTTGAATGAAACTAAATTGTTATTGCTGCTATATTTACACACACACACACACACACACACACACACACACACACACACACACACAGAGGAATGCTGCTGAGATGTGCCAGGGGCTTCTGGAAGAGTGGGAGAAACCAGAACCAAAAGGCATTTCTCTGGAAGGTTTTGCAAAGGCATGAAGATCAGAGTACCTCCAAGCCCAGTGCCACCTCACCAAGCCCGCTCACCCATCCACTCACTTCCTGAATAAACACCAGAGCCACCGTCGCCCCTTCTCTCTCCAGAAGCTACAAACTCTCACTCTCACCTGCAGTTTCTGAGCATCCAACCGTCTGCCACCTAACGCCTGAAAACCTGCAGTTGTATCAGCATCATCCTTAGGAGGCAGGGGCAGGGATGCAGTGGCCAGGCGTTCTCGGCTGCCTGCCTTCCTCTCCCTGCCCTCCTGGGGACTTGGGCAGCTCCCTGCACAGGACAACGGGCCACAGGTCCAGGGTCTCGGTTCATTTGCTCGTGCGTGCATTCCTTCAGTTGGCCATTAACCCTTTCTTAAGGAAACCTATATCAGACTTAGGGCTGGCCTCCAGAAATGTAAAAACCAAAAAAAAAAAAAAGATATGATGCCCTCCTTACAGGTTCCAGGAGTTCACTGTCTAGAAGACTGAAGCACTTGACATTTTTCCAGGGGTGAGCAGCATGACTCTGCCTGCCTTGCCTGCCCCGGGCTCCTTCAATTTTCACTGAATTTAACCTCTGCTCCCCCTGCCTCCACACTAGGCTTCAACCAAGTAGGTAGGTTCGAGAGATAGGCGTTGGTTGAATGAAAGAATGAGGGGCACAGGCCTCGCATGGTGGGCACGGGTCCAGCTTCTTCACCCCCAGGGGACACATTGGCGACCCCCTAAGTATCATGGAATCCCACGGAGACCCGGGGGCAAGCAGAGACCAAACGGCCTGCAGCCTCCTCCCTGCAGCACCCACCCTAGGGGAGGAGCTGACTATCCGGCCCAGGCGCCAGCGGGGAGGGCTGTGCTCGTTAAAACCCGGATCAAAGAGAACCGAGAAATGCCTGAGTCTCATTAACAAAGGGCCCAGACGGCCTGGCCCAGGGAGCAGGAGAGAGGAGGCTGGGGACAGGGAGGCTCAGGGTGCAAGGAGTCGCTTCTAATGAGCTTCAGGGTTAAAGAGAGAGAGAGAGACACGTGCTAGGATTAGGGCCAGGGCCTGGACCTCGCACTGATGCCTGTTCTGAGCTGCGGCTGTGGTCTGCCCAGAGGAGGAGGCCCGGAGGAGGCCGGGGCTTCCTGGGGCATCCTGCCAGGGGAGGTCACAGAGCCAAGCTCAGCTGTGAAGCTGCGGCCCAGGACAGGATAACAGGGAACGCTGGAATGCCCAGTCTGCCCGCCCTCCCCCGTCACAGGTCGTGCCCTTTGCTCCCCAGGTAGTGGGGATGGTTTCTCTCTGAGGAGCCAGCGGCCTCCTCTCCTGGCTCTGGTGCAGCGGGGCTGGGCTGGTGCTGCGAGGCTGGGAGCTCAGGCCAGGAATCCAGAAGCAGGGCCTTCTTCCTCCAGGATGTATGAGAGGGCTGAGGGGAGCCCCCCACTGCTGGGAGGAACCTGAGGGCCCAGTGAGCCTGCTGAGCAGAAGCCTCCCCTCCCGAGTCCCAGGGCTGCTCGGGCAAGAGCACAGGCAGGTGGGAACAGGGGGAGGACAGGAGAGGGTGCAGGTCCAGCTCTGGGGGTGCTCAAGGCTAGGACCCCAGCCCTGCGGGTGCTCAGGGACCACTTAAGATATAGGAGTTCTGTTTGTAGGACCAAGGCTGCTGGCTTGTGCAGTGTGGCCTGGGCCAAGGGGCATGGCAGGAAGGAGATCGGGTGCTGCGTGGATGGGTGGCCCAGGGCAGAGGCTGGGATCCAGAGGCCTGGCTAGAACAAAGGTTACCAAGCCCTTTATGGGAGGCTCTTGGGAGGCCCACAGAGGGCAGGTGGGTAGGATTCCTGGGGCTCCTTGAAAAGCTTCTTGGGGTCTGTTTGCAAAACACCTGAGAATTTGGGTCTCTGGCTTATCAGGCTGGAAAGTGATCTCCCTGGCTCAGGGTTAGGCACGAGGGCGGCAAGGACCAGAGTGGAGATGAGGAGATTGCTCCCCAGACACCCAGACCCCCAGTCCTTGTGATGGAAAGAAGAGAACTGTCTTCAAGGAAAGAACAGTGAGTCGGGATTTCTTTGCATTTGCATGTTTTTCATACTCCCCCAAGAGGTCAGCTTTTCCCCTTCCTGAGCTCTGTCTCCCTGTCGCCCACCGTCCCACGTAGCCTTGTCCACACTGGGGACCGCAGGGGTGTCCAACACGACCCGAGCTCCCGGGGCAGGAGGGACAGAGTTGTCCAGTCTTGGAAACAGCAAGGGATGAGGTCCTGCGGAGCCTCCAGACACCTGCCCTGTACGTCTGAGTGAATGCGTGTGTATAGGTGTGTGAGTGTGAGAGCATGAACATGTGTCAGTGTCTGCGATGTGTGTGCATGACAGCAAGTGAGCTACTGTGTGATGCTGCGAGCCCGTGTGTACTGCGTGTGTGGTGTGCGTGAATGGGGTATGCATGTGGTGGACGTGAACACGTGGGGGGGGCGGCTCCCCAGCCTGCCAGGCCCTGCACTCCCTCCCAGGGACCCTTTGAGTTGGTCATGGCGCCCTCCTGGAGCCATGGTTGGTGGATGGAGAGATCAGGATTCCAGGTCTAGCATGGGGCTCCTGGAGTGCTTTCCCCAATTCTCTGGAGAGAGAATCCTTTCTGGTTAACCAGACCGACGGCTTCCAGCCTTTGACTCCTTCCCTTGACCCCATCCCATGAGTGTGTGTGTGCCGGCAAGGGTACACAAGCACACCGTGTGGTCACTGCACGTGAGCCTTGGGGGACTCCACAGGGCCGACCCCAGGTGCACACATCTTGCTGTGGGCACGGGTGGCCTCTGTCTCTAAATGAATATGTTCCCATCCACCGTGAGGATACGGGACATGGCTTTTGAGCCTTTGTCTGGAGCCTCACTCCAACTGGCACACTGGACAGTGGGTAGGAAGTTGCCTTAAATCTGAGGGTGTTGTGTCACCCTCTTAAGAAATGAGCCCACTGCCCCGGTCACTGATGCCTCTGCTTCTCTTAGCTCCATGTGGGGTATGTTTGGGCTCTGGGGATGAAGATGGTTGGCCTACCCTCATACGTGCCAGCAATCTCCATCCCAGGAGCCCCTGACCAGCTGTTCTTCCTTTTATTTATTTTCCAGCCAGGGGCTCCCACATCCCAGAGTCTGGGTGGGCTGGCAAGATCCAGGAAGGTCTTGAGCCTTGGTGGACCTGAAGGCTGGGTCTCTGGCAGGAGAATGGAATCCCTGCTGGATTCAGGCAAAACGGAAGGATCTCACTGGGAGTGGGTATGTTTTGGTACTGAAATAAAGTCTCAGCCCTGTGAGTCGCTGGGGCCTCTGCTCAAGCCCAGTGACCACATGTGGCAGAAATTAAAAGCTCAGCCTCTGGAGTCAGATTTGAGTTCAATCCTCTCTCTATCACTTATCATGTTGCGAGACCTTAAGTTACTTCATCCTCTGAACCTCAGTCTCTTCATCTGTAAAATGGGAACGTCTTACATCCCAGAAGTGTTGTAAGTAGTCCATCTTCAGAAGGCCCTAACAGTTGGGTGATAGAGAAGACCAGTGATTTGTGGGGACTGGTGAGGAGAGGGGCCTCTGCATCTGGAAGGCTCTAGGTAACACGCAGGCTGGGATGTCAGAGCCAGGAGGATCTTGGAGACCTTTCAGGGTGGTCAGCTTCTCAGCGCTGGGCTGGGACTGGAGTCCTGCCTTCCTGACTTGGTGGCACTCGTTCTGGGGAACACAACAGTGATTAGAGCATGACCGACAGATCTGGAGTCCATCAGGGCTGGCTTCAAATCCCAGCTCTACCATTCAGTCACCTTACCTCTCCAATCCTGTCCTTTCACCCCTAAAATTAAATTAACATTCATCCACACCTTGGGGTTGTGCCGACCAATACAGCAGTCACTTGGGGGTAGCTATGGAAATTTAATAAAAATTGAAATGAATAAAATTCATGTTCTCAGTTGCAAAACCACATTTCAGATGCTCAGCAGCCACACGTGGCTAGCGGGCACGGTCCTGGACAGTGAAGACACAGATTGTGGTGAGTGGCTAAGTGCTGCCTTGGTGGCTTGTTGTAAAACGTAAATGAGACGATGCCGATGAGGTACGTACCTTAGAGCCTGGCTCTGAAGAAAGGATGCCAGCTGTCACTGTTATTTTTTTATTTTTTATTTTTCTGAAGATCCGTTAATTAGAGAGTGTGTGTGTGTGTCGAGTAGAGGGGCAGAGAGAGAAACTCAAGCAGACTGCAAGCCGGGCACAGGGTCTGACGTGGGGCTCGATCCTACTACGACCCTGAGATCACAACCCTAGCTGAAACCAAGAGTCAGACACTTAACTAACTGAGCCCCCCAGGTGCCTGCAGCTGTCGCTGTTATTATCGGAGCCTCTGGAGTGGTCTTGCTCTCACCAAGGGTGACCTACAGGCCAGGGTGTTCCTTAGGACCAAGATGCTGGCCATAGTCTGGAAACACCACAGAATGTGAGCAGAGAGGAGTAACCACCTACACATCTTGAGCCACCCTCTGACGGTGGGGACAAATTATTCAAGCTCTGTACTTCACTGACAAGGAATCTGAGGCCCTGAGAGGTGACGTGGTTTCCCCAAAGTCCGCTGACAGAGCTGAGGCCAGAGTACTGTTTCCTGACTGCTCACCCAGTGAGCCTTGCCACCTGCCCTCATTCGAGGCCACTCCGAGCCAGCGGCATCAGAATTGTCTGGTGGCTTCATAAAAACTCAGATTTGCAGGCCCCACCTCAGGACGCAGCCTGAGGTCTGCTTTCTTACCAAGAGCTCCAGATGCTTTTGATCCTTAGCAAGTTTGGAGGCACTGGGCCCGGAGATCAGAGTCTGACTGGCTCAGGCCCCTGGTGGGGTAAACATGGCAGGGCCCGGGAGCAGTGACCTCCTCCACCCCTCACACTCCCCTGGATTGGTCTCCCCAGAGTAGCCCTTCTTTCCCCTTCCCTAACGCACATCAGAAATTCTCAGGGTGCCCTGGGAAAGGTGAGCAAATGGAGACCTTTTGGCCTATTCCCATTGGACGTGCCGGGGCAGCTGCTCTGGCCAAGGTGGCCCACACTGCAGCTTGAGGAGGCCTAGAAAGGGCTCAGGCCGCCATGGCAGGGTGCTCCTTAGGGACCCTTTTGGCCTGAGCACCTTGACTTTGCCTCAGGCGGGTTGGCCCAGGAGGGAGCGAGCCCGTCACTCCAGCCCCGGCTGCCAAGAGCAGCCCCGACAAGATGGCTGCTGGCCAGCCCGTCAGTGTTGTTTGGCTCAGGGGGACTGCTCTCTCCAACAGGAAGGCTTTAATCTCCACAGTGGTAATCACGAGTTGAGAGGGCCCAGCTTCCCATTCCAGGGAGCTCAGTGGGATTGTGCAACACAGCCCTTTGCAAGGAGAGCCCCCTTTCATCTGAGCACACCAAGTGTCTTGTTATCCATGTGGCCTGGGAACAGAGCGAGCACTTGTCGGCATCTGTTCCCTGTGTACGTGCAGTTTAGCTGTGGCTCTGGGAATTGATGAGCAAAACAGGATTTGGGCGGGGGAGAGGTGCTTAGGCTGGGGGGTGGGGGGTGTGTATCTGGATGGCCCATAATCATCTGGGGTGGGCACTTTCTAGAATGTCTCCCTCCTCTCCACAACTAGCTTCAGACACTCCACATGCCAGTGGGGGAACTTCCCAAGAAAGGAGGCCCCCTTGGGATGGGGAAGAACTGTGTCTCCTTCTTCCTCCGTTCAGGGCTCAGTAGGTCTCCACAGGGAGCTCTTTGCAGGTCTCAGCCCCTCTGTCTCTTCCCCCCAAAGGAGACTCTCATCTGGCTGAAGCTGAGGAGAGGGGAGGTCAGGCTCGGGGGGCTCGGACACCTGCTCCCCGGAGAAACTGACCCGGAGCATATGTGTATACGGTTAAATGACCCCTGGAGCCATAGTCACTCACTCATTTACTCACTCACTCATGTATTCACTCAACACACCTTTAACCAAGGGCTGCTGACGTGTTCTGGCCTCCAGGAAAGAGCTGCACACAAGACACAGAGCCCTTGCTCTGTGGAGTTTATATTCTTGAGAGGGAGGCTGAGATTGGAAATAAATAAACAGGTTAATACCTAATCAAGAGAAGGGCTATGAAAACTGAAGAGAGAGCGAGGACAAGGGGAGGAAGGATAATTTCTGATTGGGTGGTTGGGGCACTGGGCTCAGGAAGCATCATCTTCTTCTACCTCTAGCCTGGTGTTAAAAGCGTGCTGGATGCCCTCACTGCTCTCAGACACCAGAGGTTAAAATACCCGTCGAGGGGATCTCTGGGTGGCTCAGCGGTTTAGCACCTGCCTTTGGCCCAGGGCGCGATCCTGGAGTCCCGGGATCGAGTCCTACGTCGGGCTCCCGGCATGGAGCCTGCTTCTCTCTCTGCCTGTGTCTCTGCCCCCCTCTCTCTCTCTCTCTATCATAAATAAATAAATAAATAAATAAATAAATAAATAAATAAATAAATAAATCTTAAGAAAAAAATAATACCCGTGGAGACCCCTGCCGTGTCCCCTCAGTACCCACGCGGTGGACGACTTCCCTGGGAGTTGAATAGTCCCGTATCTGACTTAATCAACCACAAACCACGGGACTCGTGTGATATGATAAAAATGGGCAGGCTGATGTCATCTCCGGTCCCTGGACGGTTCTACTGCACTCAGACCTGCAGCTGACAGTGGTTCTGCTCACATCACCACGGGCTTGGGCTCCAGAAGTGTCCCCTTTAAGGCCCCTCTTCCTGACTTTCACTTTTCCGAACCGACAGCTTGGATGGGCCCTGCCTGGTGCCCCCCCTTTTGGGAGGGGGGAGGTGCCAGGGTAGCCTTGCTGAGAAGGGGAGGTCTGCCTGCAGCCTGTCCGCCACGACTGACACGGGCACCCCACACCGAGAGGGGCTCAGCCTTGGCACGCAGGGCCAGTCCTTCCCTAGGCGGGTGGCGGGTGCCGTGGGTTTAAAGGCAGGGAGATGACAGGAATCCCTGCTGCCCTGTGGCCCGGAGGGACCCAGTTTGGGAGTGAGGCAGGACCCAGACCCAAGCCATGGCCCTGCTGCTTCCTGGACTGCCTTAGCCCCTCTGAGCCTCAGTTTCCCCCTCTGTAAAAGGAGGATCTTTACTGTGCACGAGCCCCTGGCGTGTGGTAGACACCTGATGCATGACACTGGCCGTGGCTCCCCGGGCCAACAGCTTAATCTCACTCAGCTTTGATTGTTTTGGCTTTTTTTTTTAAAGATTTTATTTATTTATTCATGAGAGACACACAGAGAGAGAGGCAGAGACACAGGCAGAGGGAGAAGCAGGCTCCATGCAGGGAGCCCGATGTGGGACTCGATCCGGGGACTTCAGGATCATGCCCTGGGCCGAAGGCAGGCGCTAAACCGTCGAGTCACTCAGGTGTCCCAGCTTTGATTCTTCATCTGTGAAAGCGAGATGTCAATATATTGTCTTCCAGGGGTTACGTGAGGGTGAAGTGACGCGTGTAAAGTCGCCTGCCACGGGGCCTGGGGCTCAATAGCGTGTGTCTAATCGACCCTGGGAGCCCGTCCGGCGTGAGCCAGCAGGTAGGCAGGTGCGCTGAGGGACAGACTACCGGAGGCCTCTACGCTGCAGAGGACGGGCCCTCCTCCCTGGCCACTGGCTTAGTCAGTGAAGGGAAAGTGAGGGAGGGGAAGTGAGGGAAAGGACTTTCTGGGTACTTTTGCTGATTTCAGTTTTGGTTTCAGGATCGGAACCAACTTCAGGAACGCACCAGCTGACAGAGCTCATAACCAAGGGAGGGCCGCGTGGTGCCAGGCCAGAGGTTAGAGAAAAGTGCAGTCTCATGGCCTCTACTTCCCCTGCGGGAGAGATAGTTCTGCTTCTCCAGGTTCACCATTAGCCTTTCCATCTGCTGACTCATTCTCACACAGCTCCAGCCCCGGAAAGCTGAGCATGTGGAAGGAGGCCTATTAATAGCCTTTTCCTGGGACACTCATCCTGACTTTTCCTAAGACGGTTGGAACGCAAGCGCTGATGCCCTACCCCTGGTTCTTCTCCCCACCCCGCCACCACTCCCCTCATGGAGACTGAGAAGGAAGAGTTCTGGGCACCGAGTAGTGCCAAGAAGGCTCTGGAGTTTCCATTCTGTCACTTTCAGATTTGTTGGGATTTCAAAATGGAGGCCTGTTGATTTTGGTCAGCGAGCAAGGCCGTAGGGGGGCTCTTTCTATAGTGATCCCGGAGGGCTCCACTAGGGGCCCCACATAGCTTGAGAGGGGAAGCTGCAACAAGAGGGAAGGAGGATATAGAACAAATCCCGGAAAATGTCCTGAGGCCCAGTGGAGGGCAGAAAGCCTGCGCGGAGGGAAGCAGCTGGGCCAGTCGGCATGGCTGGGCTTCTGTGGGAAGAGGTTTGGGGGTCTCTGGGCTCCTGCCCACTCCGGGGTACAATTGAACCTGGCCTCCAGTCCACAGAGCAGAAAAGGCACCTGGACTGTATGCAGTGTGCAGCAGCTGCATGGCGCCGGCCGCTGCCTCCATGACCACAGCCCACACAGAACAGCCTGCTCTGGTGCATCATCCACTACAGTAAAGAAGGACGGTCCAGTGGAAGAGAAGCCGTGACAGGACAGATTGAGGCCCCCTGAGCAGAGGTGAAGAGATACTAGGTGGTCCAGGTTCTTGGACATCACACTGGGGAAGTGGCCTGCGCCGTCCCTGTGGGGGCCTTGTGTACAGGTGGGTGAAGAAGGGGCAGCTTCATGTAGCACAGAGCACTGGTTGTTTGTTTTTGTTTTTTATTTCAGTTTTACTGCTTATAAGCTATGTGACCTTGATCAAGAGATGACCCTCTCTGGGCCTCAGTTTCCTCCACTGCATAAAGGTAGGATTAGGGGCACCTGGGTGGCTCAGCGGTTGAGCACCTGCCTTCAGTTCAGGTTGTGATCCCGGGGTCCTGGGATCCAGTCCCACATCGGGCTCCTTGCAGGAGTCTGCTTCTCCCTCTGCCTGTGTCTCTGCCTCTCTCTCTGTGTCTCTCATGAATAAGTAAACAAAATCTTAAATATATATATATATAGCATTAGACAAGATGAGTTCGAAGGTCTCTTCCAGTCCTGACCTTCGTAGCTAACACCATGTGCCTATTCAGAAGATGTGGCTTGTACGGGACAAAAGAGAAAAACAGCTAAGAGGAAGAAGGGTCGAGAACGACCCCTGGACGGGCCAATGCCCGCGTGCCGCTGTATGCCCACGTCCAGAGCTTACGTCCCGCCGCCGTCACCACCATGCCCAAGAGAAAGGCTGAAGGGGATGCTAAAGGAGATAAAGCCAAGGTGAAGGATGAGCCACAGAGATCTGCAAGGTTATCTGCTAAACCTGCTCCTCCAAAGCCAGAGCCCAAGCCTAAAAAGGCCCCTGCAAAGAAGGGAGAGAAGGTACCCAAAGGGAAAAAGGGGAAAGCTGATGCTGGCAAGGATGGAAATAACCCTGCAGAAAATGGAGAGGCCCAAACACAGCAGGCACAGAAAGCTGAAGGTGCTGGAGATGCCAAGTGAAGTGTGTGCATTTTTGGTAACTGTGTACTTCTGGTGATTGTACAGTTTGAAATACTATTTTTTATCAAGTTTTATAAAAATGCAGAATTTTGTTTTATTTTTTTTTTTAAAGCTATGTTGTTAGCACACAGAACACTTCATTGTTGTTTTGGGGGAGGGCCATATATCACTAATAGAATATCTCTGAAGCTAGATTGATAACAAGGGGAAAAAACACCTTTCCCTTCTAGTTTTGAGAAACTTCCCCTTGGCTCCCAGGAGGAGGGATTCCTTGATGTTGACAACACATGAGCCACCTTGGTGGTGTGGAAAAACTAAAATTCATTTTTTTTAATGTCCTCTTCTCCCTCTCTGCCTTCAACATAGACTTGACTCCCTTAAACCCAGAGACCTGTTGGAACCTGACCCCATGAAATGGTTCCCAATATGTCAAGCAACCTGGACTTTACAGTGTCACCACTGAGATGGCGTCCCTCAAAAGAGTTCCTTTTTTTTAGCTTGTGGGTCTTCAGATTGATAATATTGCCATTTTCATTTCATTTTCTGAAAGTCAGGGTCGGCTTGTGAAAAGTTGTTAAACACCATGCTGAATGTGAACGGTCAGCCCTCACTCTAAACTTCCCGGGTCAGAGCATCGCATGAAGACTTCATTGGGTTTTATAGTGGCTTTCTGATTTTGGTAGGCCATTGAAGAAGGGAGTTTGAAAGCTGTATGCTGTTAATGATCGTCCACCGGTGTCCTGCCTGAAATACCATGATTGCTTATGAAAAGTATCTTTAATAAAGCTGGATACAGTTTGGCTTGGAACAAAAAAAAAAAAAAAGAAAGAAAGAAAAGAGAAAAACAGCTAAGAGAGTCCACAGGGGACCAAGAAGGGATCGTGGGGGTCTTTCCTTCTCCCATTCCTTTCATTAGAAAAGCCTCCCCTGGGACGCCTGGGTGGTGCAGCGGTTGAGCATCTGCCTTCAGCCAAGGGTGTGATCCCGGAGTCCTGGGATCGAGTCCCACATCGGGCTTCTTGCATGAAGCCTGCTTCTCCCTCTGCCTATGTCTGTCTCTCTCATGAATAAATAAAGAAAATCTTTAAAAAATAAAAAAGTTTAAAGAAAAGCCTCCCCTTGTCCCCTCCCGCCCCCCACCTCACTGGGGGTCCCTGCTGCAGGGGGAAGCAGAGTCCAGGGTGAAGCTTTTCTGGGCCTGAGAGGAGCCTCCGCCATCAGACTCCAGCTGAGGCTGCTCCTCCTCCATCCCTGCTCTAAGCCTCCAGGGCTTCCCTTTTTTCTTGGGGCTCTACCTCCTGGGGGGAGGCCTGGGAGGACCCTGAAGGAAGGGGTTGTGGGCAACGAGCAGGAAGCTTGGCCTGCTGGGACAGGGGTGCTGGGAAGAGACGCAGAGAAGGGGGGAGGCTTTGACAGAGAAGGTAGGTGCTCCCCTCACTTCACCCCAACACCAGCAAGACCTGCGTGGCCCCAAATGTCTTCTGCCTTCTTCTGTCCATCTTTAAAGTGACCAAACCTGCCCTCTCTGCTCAGGACGGGGTTGGGGATGTTCATACAGCCCTTAGCCTGTTGCTTCACTAGCCCTGGCAACGGGGAGGCGCAGTCACCCTGTTGGGGGAGTGTCACTGGGGACAAAAAATTGACTGTTGGGGGTGCGAAGAGCCCTGGCCCAGCTCCAGGATACTTCTACATCATTTCGTGGGGGAATCCAGGCGGACACAAGCCTCCTCTGCCCCCCTGAGCTCGGCAAGAAGGGAAGAAACAACTGACATGATTTCCCGGCTGGCGCTCCCGCCTGCACGTCTGTCTAACAGTTGCTCAAGCCCCCAGAAGCCACCTTGCACACGGCCCCTGGGTCCAGATTTCCGCAAAGCAGTGCCAGGGAACCATGGGGGAAGGGAGGGGCATCTGGCTAATGAACTCGCTTTGAGCCAAGAGGGAGTTTTGGGTTTGAAAATGGAGTGTCTTTTGCTCTGTGACTATTGCTCTGGCATTCACTTGCCGACTGTGAAAGAGAGGCTTTTGGCCAAAGAGCAGGTCTTCCTGGAATAAATAGACCAGTGAGAACTAACCCAGCACAAAGAAAGAGTATTTTTCCTTTTCGGCAGGGTATCCACAATTACAATAAACATGTAGCGAGCACCAGCTGGAGGGGAGCCATGTGCTAGGAGGACAGATTCTGGAATCAGACTGGCTGGTTCCAATGAGGATCCTCTGACTGCAGGTGTGACGTGGCCTCGACTTCCTCATCTGTAAATGGAGGTAAGAGTGAGGCTTAGACTGAGGGTCTTTTTTTTTTTTTAATAAAGCAGTTGGAACTGTACCTGGTACACGGTGAATGCTCAGTGGCTCTTTAACTGTTGTTCTCATGTAGCACAGAGCACCGGTTGATACTAATTCTGATAACTGGATCAGCAGTTACTAGATATAACTGATATATTGATAACTATTATCATTTTATTACAGACATTTAGGACCTTCACTTCTACTGTTAAGGACATTTATAATGTAGTTAAATGGATAAGCAACAAGCACATGCAAATTTAGGTGATAAATAACACTTTAAATAATCTAGTACAGCGGCACACAAATGGGGTATAGGATTGATGGCCAAATGGGTGGTACTGCTTCCTGAAAGGCCAGACTGGTCCTGCTGGGCCCACAGTCCATTTCTAGATGGCCAAGACTTCCTTCCCTCCATCCTGTGGAAGGGACAGACTGATGGAGACTACACAATCCACCACCAGACCACAGGTGCTTGGATGGGGGGATGAAGACTTGGCCTAGTGACAGGCCCTACCATTGGCCAATCAGGGATTGGGCCCATGGAGAAAACGAGACACAGGCTGAGGGAGAAAAAGCTGAAAAGGACATCCTTAGGTAGAAGCGAGGACATGGGGGCACGTGTACCCCGACATTACAAGAACACAACAGTGACTGAGAGGCTGCCATTCACAGAGACGGGACCCGAGGAGACACAGATCAGAAAACAGCACGCAGAGGCAACCAGGAGGCTCCTGAGGAGAGATGAGAAGGAGCAACCCTGGGAGCTGCCTCAGGAACTCCTGAAAGACCTTCTAAAGGAACTTAAGTCAGTCTGACTCTTGGGACCGAGAAAGTGGGGCTGTAGTTCGGAGAAGGAAGGGACCACAGGGCTGTATCAGCCCGAGGAGAGGACACAGGTTCTTGTCTGGGAGGCCAGGAGGACATTAAAGGGGCAGAGGGGCTGGAGGAAGGAGCACCCAGAGGACAGTCATGGTGCTGGAAAGGCATGAGGAGTATCTGAGGAGATGCGAGTAGACTGGTTGGTTGGAGCCAATGATTGGGTCAGAATTTGGAAATATTCAGAAAGATAACTCGTTGTATCAGGATGGTATCAATGGCCACTATCAATGGAAATCCAACCAAACTCAATTTAAATTCTAATGGGAACAGACTGGTTCGAGTTTGGGAAAAGTCAGCAGGTGCAGCAGACTTCAATAGAAGCCCAATCCAGGGTTCAAAGGCCACACAGCAAGGACCTTGCATTTATGCCTTTTCCACTCTTCTGAAGGAAGCATCATCCTAGACCCACTGGCCTGGCTTTAGGTCAATCTGCCAAATGACCAGTGTGCCAAAAACATCATTTAAGAAATATTCTTTTGTAAAACAGTCAATGAAAATGCATATATTTTTAATTTGATTCAGAAACTGGCTTTTAGCTAATTGACTTTCAGAAAATTGTTTTTAGGCAAATTGCCCTGCTTTCAGCTATTCTTGGAAATGCAGATGGCTGGTAGCAGCCCCTAGGCTATTCGCTTCTCTATTCAGGTTCCAGAGGAGAAAGAGCCTCTGTGCCCCGGTCTGACCAGCACAAGTCCTCCGGTCCACTTTGGTGGGTCAGCTGGGCTCACATGCCATCCCTTGAGCCAATGACACTGGCCTGGAGAATGTGCTGGCTGGTGTGGACCTAGTTCAGAGGCTTTTAATGAAGCAGTCACTAGGGCCAGGGTGATGGCTTATGCCAGTTGAGCCCAGCTCTTGAGGCTAGGGGTAGATAAAATCATACTAGGGTGCATGACTGGGAGACTCGATGGAAAGACCTTGGAGGTCACAGGTGTTGAGAAGGCAATAAGCAACACTGCTTACAGCTGGGGACAGTCTTGAGCAGCCAGCCAAAGGGATCCGACTTCATTCTCTCGACAGCAAAGTGAAATGGGAGACTCTCAGATCTGTGACATAAACCCCATGAGGTGGTATTTTAGGAAGAGAAGTGTGACTTTAGAATGGATAGGAGGAGCGGCCGGTCGGGCAAGCCGGGGGGGTTATTATAGAATGTGAGAGGCTGGCCAGTAAGGACTGAACTATGAGCCAGGGAACCAGAGTGAGAAGGGAAAGAGGGGGGGGCCACTAGAAAGAATCCCAAAAGAGGAAGTAATAGGAATTTATGTCATATTAGACACTAAGGAGTGGGTGGATGGTGGCCAAGGGAGGAGTAAAAAATGACCCCAAGGCCTCTGACCTAGGTGAAAATTTAGAGTATCTACCCCACTCTTTAACTGCCTTCTCTGAAAGCCATCCCCTCACTCACAGGAAAGGGTCCTTGTCCTGGCACCCCATGGTGTGGGCAGCCTGGCACTCTTCCCACTTTTGGGAATGGACCCCTCCCTCCTTCTGGGCACCCCTACTCCCCACCCCTCCATGGTTATCGTAAAGCCGCCGTGCCAATGCACAACCCTGTCTAGGGGCACCTGACCCAAGATGGGCCAATGAGAACTCTTCCTCAACTTGTCAGTAAAACTGAAAATTAGATGTCTGTCTCTCTCTGGGAGGTTAAAGATGGGATTGGCACAGCTGGTGACGTGCTACTGGCCTCATTCTTCCACATGGGCCAAGGAGCAGAGGAAGCCAGTGTGCACGATACGGAGAACGTAACAGATGGCAGGTATGGGGACCGAGGGTGAGCCCCAGAGCAGCTGCCAGGAGCCCTGAAGGCTGTCAGCTCTCTGCATGTACTTCCTGTTCGTGGGTCTTGCCAGACACCCTCTGGCTTCTCCATATACAATTTAAGCAACTAT